TTCCATCTCTCTCTCTCTCTCTCTCTCTCTCTCTCTCTCTCTCTCTTGGTTTGTTGAATATCTTCATGATTATGTCTTCGAGATTTGAATATGATGATGATGATGATGATGTTGATAATGATGATATTTTTCATATCCTAACCAAACATCATAATGATAATGATCTTTGTTTATTTTGTTTTGTTTTGGTTTTGTCAATTTTTGTTAGGCTACTTATTTTTGTTGTTGTTGTTTTTGTTTTCATTCATTTTGTTGTTGAATTAATGATGAAAAACAAACAAAAAAAATTCATTACGAAAAGAAAAAGGAAACAACAAAAATTTTCGCGAAATTTCCTCTCTCGACCATTAAGACCATTTGTCATCATAATCATCATCATCATCATAAATATCGTTTCCATAAGAAGAAAGTAGTCGTTTTTAGTTTGAAATGAAAAGGATTGATCATATTTAGAATGAAATGAACATTCATTTGAAATTCCAAATGATGATGATGATGATGACGTTATTTAGATGTCATGTCATTCATTTTATTATGTCATCAGAATTTAGTTTGTTTTTTTTCGGGAAAAAAGGGTTAATAATGAATTTCGTCGTCGTCGTTGTTGTTGTCGATTCAATTTTCGTTTCGTTTCGTTTATTTTCTATTTTTTCCTCATTCACTCAAATTGCTTCGTACTTGTTTTTTCATTTTCTTTTCTGGAAAATTAATTTACTTGAAATGAAAAAAAAAGAAATTAAATTAATTGATATCGTTGATTGATTGAAATCGATTACAAATTACAAACTTTCGATTTACCTTTTTTTCTCGTTACTTCAATGTTTTTGTTTTTTTGCACCGAAAAGCAAATTTTTGTAATTTTTTTTGATTGAAAAAACATTCAAAACACACAGAGCGAGTGAGTGATGAGAGATTCAAAGATTTTCGAATGGATTATAAATTCGATTCTATTTCCACTCACCCCGAACCAAACAAACAAACAACAAAATAGGTATACATTTCCGAATTGAATCGAGGTATTATGCTTTTTTTCATTCAGAAAAGAATTTCCTCTTTTTTTCAAAAGAATTTCCACATTTTTTTCAAAAGAAATCTCTAAACGATTGAATAAAAGAGGAAAAAAGGATTTGTTTGTTTTGTTTGGTTTGGTTGTCGCTGAAGAAGAAACTGGATGAATATTCAATATGGAAATTGGAAATTTCCAATTCGAAGAAAAAAATATATAAATATTCAATTGGCTACACAATATGGGATAAAAATTGATTGAATTCGGAATTCTGAAAATCAATCAATAACAACAACAAAAAAGTATGTATGTTTGTTTGAATAATAATTCAATTTTCTTTTGAAAAAAAAATGATGCATCTTTTTCCATATTTATCTATTTATATCTGTCATAATATTGGAAATTGATGCTCATTTTTTCGTTTGTTTGTTTCCCCTTGATACAATTGAATTATGTGAAATTTTTTTTAATCAAATTCAAAAAAATTCTTGAATTAAATTGAATTTGAAAATCTTTTCGAGTTTTTCGAAAATGGTAAACAAACTTACGTCTTATGTGAGCATGCCATTTTGGTTGTTGTTCCGCTCACTTGGTCATGTCATTTGTGTATGGCATGTTGTTTTTGTTCGAAAGAATAAATATCAAATGTTATTCTGGTTATTCTGGTTTGGTTCATAATGATCAAATGATTATGCAAATGATTATTCAACAACTTTATCATCATCTTTATAATCAAAACAACAATTGAAGTAATTATGTTGGTGATGATAATCGATTGATGATGTTGTTGATGATATCGAAAAACTTTTTTTTTCTGGTAGTTCCAGCAGCCAGCAACAACCAGCCAAAAATCAAATTAAACCAAAATGAACGTGATCGATCAATTATTATTATGATAACCAAAAAAATATCCAATTATCAGATTGGATGTAAAACTTTTTTTTCCATTATTATCCATTGTTGTTGTGAGAATCATAGAATCATAAAAAATTCTATTGAAATTCTATTCCAATGGGGGAAAAAACAAACTTGTTATTTTTTTCAGAATCAGAAAAAAAATTCTCAAACAACAATGATGGTTGGTTGGTGAATTAAGAATTTCGCTACTTTTTCGTCATCATCATCATCATAATGGAAACATTCTGTCTGACTGGCTATTCGTTTTGTTATTTTTTTCAAAACACAAAATGGAAGGGAAATGGCCAGAAATCCGTTTTCACTTTACATTCTCTCCAACTATGATATGGATCATTGAATTCAAATATGAAAAATGAAACGAAAAATTGTACTTGAACTTGAACCATATATCAATGAACGAATCTGATGATAATAATGGAGCCATAGTGGCTCGTTTATCACCGGATTCAACACTTTTTTTTCGAAAGCAACAACAACAAAAGCATCGTTAACAACAAAAGAATCTTTTTTTTTTGGCTGAAAAGAATATTTTTCAATTGTATTTCTATTTTTAGCAAATTTTTTTCATCAATTTTTCCATTCTGGATTCCATTAATTTTGATTAATTTCTTTTCTTTTTTTTCATTGAATTTAGTTTGAAAGTTTGATTCATTTTCTCATGATGATGATTCTGATAATTCTATCAATTCTGGTCAACCAAAACTACTCTTCGAACCGCGCAGTCTCACAATAAGCCTGAAGATCTTTGGTTGTCGACGGCCATTGTCATCGGCGGAAAAATCAAAAAAGAAAATTCTCTTTTTTTTCAAATCAAAAGTCAAGTTAAGTTAACCCAAATGATGATGATGATGATGTTTGATTTTTTTACTTTTTCGTTTCATTTACATAGGGAAATAAAGACAAAACTTGAAAACAAAAAGATCCTTTTTTTCTTTGGTTTTTTTGGTTGATGATTTTGACATTTGACGTCATTTGAATACTGAAGAAAGACAGAAAATGAAAATGAAATGAGAAGATTTTGTTTTATGCAAAGAATATTCTTTCGTTTTTTTGGTTTTTCTTTCGTTTTCTCTCTCCCCATATTCATTCGATGTTAATTAAATTAATTCAATTAAGACACAGCAACAATGGGGAATCCAAAAAGAATATTCTTGATTCTTGATATGATTATTATCATCATCATCATCAGTAAAGATAAATGGAGACATAATTATTATTACCCGAAATGAACAAAATGAAACCAGAAAACTGAATGAATTTTTGGTAAAATTCTGGTTAAAAATCTTACCAAAAATAATTTTTTTTTTCATTTTAAAAATTTAAAAATAAGAATTTTCCACTTAACCAAAACCATTTTTTGGTTTTGGCTTTCTGTGGTTATTATCAACCAAAAAAATTCAAAACAAGAAAAACAAGTTTCAAATTACATTGTCTGTGTAGGGGTCTTATTACGTGATCCATTCGTTGTTGTTGTCGTTCTTCGTTAATCTTCGAAACAATGTAACAAAAATCTTTACATAATTTTCTATTTAATCCAACATCGAAACAAATGTCATAAGAATGTTTCAGGGAAGATTTTTTTTGCTGTTGTTGTTTTGATCAAAACGTGTTAACTTAACTAAACTAGGTTAACCGGATATTAAAATGAATTTTTTCACTCGGTTCGATCGATCGATCGGTGTTGTTGGAACATGAAAAAAGCTTGTTTGTTTGGTTTTTTTTCAGTTCCAAAATTTAATTTTGGTCATTTTTCATTGATGGTGGTGGGTCAATCAATCTAATAAAATTGGCTGGTTGTTCCAGTTAACTACCAGAAACAAACAAACAACCATTTATTAACCCGTTAATCCCTTTTTTGGATTCTTTTGGTGATGACCTAGCTAATTAAATTTTTTTTTGTTTTTGTTTTTGGTTTTTCTGTTGTTGATTCTTTCAGGCACGATTGTCAACTGACTGACTGACTGACGACAAACACCAGAACAAAACAAACATTGACATTTTATGGTCTTTTGTTATGAAAGAATGTTTTTCTTTTCTTTCATTCAAAAGAATTAATGAAAATTATTCTTGATGATGATGATGTTGACCCTATACCAGTGTGTTTCTCCCACACTACGAATTTATTCTTAGGTTGTTTTTGACGCGATTCCAGTGGAATTTTCTCGTTTTTGTTTTTGTCAGAATTCTGCGTATTCAAACATTCAATGGAAAGAAAAGGCAAAGAATTCATTCAATATTGAGAACTTTCTCAATTTTCAAATGAGAAAAAAAAATTTAATTTAAATTTTCTTTTGTTTTTCTATTTGATCAAGGAGAGAAAAACCCACCAAAAAAAAAAGGATTTTTGTGTTAACGAAAAAATAAAATGAAAGTGTTGCATTACAACATTGACTAATTGTACATTTTATTTTGTTTTTGTTTTTGAAATTGAAATTAAATTTGGAAAAAAAATTTTTACAAAATTTGTCGAACATTTGGTGAATCACCCATATCATAATCGGGTTTCTTTTTTCTACCTTCTTCAATCAATGACATAACTGATGGACGTTTTGCTGGTGGTTTTAATTCATCAAATAATTCACATTCATAATTTTCGGGTAGATTAGATTCTTTTCGTATATAATATGCACGTATTATATCAGTATCATAACGACAATCTTCAAATACTTTTTTCATTGATTCTATGGGTAAATCCAAATGATATAGAATGAAACTGGAAGGAAAAGAAAAGAAAGAGTTAAATTTGGAAGAAAATCTTTTTTGACAAAATTATCCGATTTACTTTGCCTGATTAAAACGTTTAGCATTCGGTATGGATGATGAAAGACGAAAATGTAATGGCTGTAGGCCAAGATATTCCATTTTTCTTAATATACCTTGATTATCGAATATAAAATTTGCAGCACGTTTCATACATAATGTTAATTCTGGTTTTTGTAGCTTTTTTATTAACAATATTAATTCAAATGCGGGCATTTTGATTTTTGAAGAAGATTTGATTTTGAAAGATTTTTTCTCGAAAACAAAATGAAAAATCCGCACAGATTCGAAAATCAGATGTTTGGAACGCACGAAAAAAAAATCGTTCGAAAAACATGTGCAAAGATTCAAACGCCATCTTTCGATGGAATATTCAATCACCAAAAACAAAAACATTCGAATTTTGGAAAAAAGAAAAGAAAAGATAACGATGATGACTGATTTGAGCAACGATAATTGAAAATATTTACCATTATGGCTTTTGGTTGATTGATGATTATTGCCCATAAAATCATCTTTCTTATCATCATAATCATCACGATCATAATCATAAACATCGATATCAAGTACTTCCGTTATCTAAAATCATTTGGCGGCAAAACATTTGTTGTCAAACGGCAATCTGAGCAACGACAACAACAAATCGCCTATAATAAACAGCAAATCGGTAAATCAACAACAAAGATGAATCAATCAAGCCGAATCAGGTAATTATGATCATTGTTGATTCACTGACTGACTGACTAATGATAAATGTGTAAATTTGTTATCAATCTCCTAGGATTCCAACATCTTTCACATATACACAAATCAACAATAATCACCTAAAATGTATTTTGTCCAGGTAATATCTATATTTTTTTCTTCTTCTTTAAGTTTTCACATATTACCTGGTTGTAAATATGAGAAAAAAAGAAAGAAACAAATTTGAAAATAACAATCATCAAATGACTAAAAAACTAATGACTAACACTTTGAAATATCCAAATGTACGTGCGCGAGTTTGTGTAATATTCCTTTCTTTCTCTATCTTTGCTATATTCATTTCATTACATTTCACAATGTTTTTTCTTTTTCAAAATAATAATAATCATTTTTAGTCGATCCACATTTGATCCAATGTTGTCAGATCGATAGGTTGGTTGGTTGGTTGATTGTGTTTTTTATTGAAAAGAATTTCTTTTGAAAATTTTTCACCTATTTTCGTCCACACAGGTAAGTTGATTAATTTTTTTGATTGTTTTGACCAGTTTTGATCAGTTTTTGATCAGTTTTGTTGAAAAAAATTTACAGAATTTTTTCTTAATTTCATTCAAGTTACCTTGGTTATTACCAAACAAGATTAAACGAATAGAATACTGTAAATTCTGTAAAGAATCTAAGAATCGAACCAAAGAATAAATCAATAACCAAATCAATCGATTGATTGAAATGATATCGATCTGTTTATTATGCTTATGTTGTTTATGTTGATAACAATTTACACCTTTTTTGTTCTGTTAAGTAATTATTATTTTTTTGTTACTTTCTTAGAAAAAATTACAAAAAATTTGACCCAAATTTCAGCTTTTTCAGCTGCTGCTGTTTTTTGATTTTGAACTTTGAAATTTACCAGAAAAAATTTTTCGTTCCCAACATAGTTAGATTATCCAGACCTAGAAATGATCCATCTGATGACATTTATCATTACACACTACACACCAAACCACACTTGTAATCAAAATTTTTTTTTTTTTGATAAATGTCGTCATCATCATCATAATCAAATGAATACTTTTTGTTCATTGTTCCAGTTTTTCTTTGATGATAACCTTTTTTCTAATCCAGGATCACAATGTTAAAATCAAAATTTGATTTTTCATTTTTCCAATATTGAAACCACACCCGATAAGAAAGATTTTTTTGTTTTGTTCGGGAAAACCAACCAGAAAAATATCCACAAGATCCACCAACGACTTCACCAATTACCATTATGTAATTTATGTTTCTCTCTCTCTCTCTTCCTTCACAAGATAAATATCATTGTGGATTCAGGTGATGACGATGGTGGTGGTGGTGGTTATTATTAAATTTTTTGTTGTTGTTGTTTTGGGCTCCAAAACTAACAATTTCGGTCAATGATAAATAGTGTTTAACTACCCCAAAAAACAAAAAGTAAAAAGTAAAAATTTTTGAATCCCAAAAAAAATCGAGAACAACGCCCGAAATAAAACCACCGAAACACACTATTTTCACTAATTTTTTTCGTTTGATTATCATTATAAATGTCGATGATTATTTTTGGAAACTTTTTTGCTTTACAAAAAAGTTTCCAGTGTTTGTGTGTGTTCCTGGATCGTCATCAATATAAATATAGATCATCAGGGAGAGAGAGAGAGAGAGAGAGAGAGAGAGAGAGAGAGAGAGGATATTGATCTCT